GGATGGATGGATGGATGGATGGATGGATGGATGGATGGATGGATGGAATGGAATGGAATGGAATGGAATGGAATGGAATGGAATGGAATGTGTATCATTTGTTATAGTTTATACCAGGACTGCCCACACTTTTTCATTATGCGATCCACTTTTTAAATGACCAAGTTAAAGTGAGGCCCCGTTTACATGAAAACAACCTCTGGAGATGTTAGCGCTTTTTCTGTTTTTATTCAATCGGGTTGCCAGATAAGAAATTATGAGCAATAGTAATGTCAAATGATAGTATTTTGACCTTAACTGTCATATGTGCTGAGTAAAGATATTCTAAGATGAGGTGTGTGTTGTATTTGTTGAACATGTGCACAGAAAATGTGGGGGTAAATAAGACATTTTAAATTGATCTGGCAACCCAGATAAAGGGCTCATCTGCATTCACTGCACATGCAACGTCTGCACGATAACCATAATGTATATTATAGAATGGAAGGTAGAAGTGTTGAACTTATCTCTTTATCCACTAGGTGGCAGTATTTCACCAAGAAAGAATAAATACATGCTCAAATTGGAGGTAAAACATCAAATACAAAAGTTAAAACAACATACAGCTTCACTATATTTGTCACATTTCCACAGTAAATGTATCTCCACACACAAAATTAAAAAAAAAAAGATTTGTTTTATCTGTAAGAAATCATTAAGTAGAGAAGTGAGATGCAACTTCTCTGTGCACTACATAATTTAATGAAATGAAAGTGTACATTGGCAGTCAGAGTGTGGCCTTTGGTGCTTGCAGAAAAAGTCAAAGGTGCAAAGCGTCTTGAGGCTCATATATCACAGAGTCAAGCAGCTCTGTGGAGGAGTAAATGACAAAGACAGACGGCCCCAGCAGGAATGGAAAATAAGAATGTGTTAGACAGATGGACAGAAAAAAAAGGACAAATTAAACTGGTGGAAACTAAAAGAGGGAAATGTTCAGAATTCCATGCAGTTGAAGGCAATTAAGATTTTTTTCATATTATTTTTTTCTCTGTGGGGGAGATGGAAATATTGGAAGAGAAATTAAGTGACTGAGTCCAGAAAAATGTCACGTACCCATTTTGCAATGGTTAATAAGGACTGTGCATTAATGCATGTCCACAGAGGGACAACAGAATGAAATAAATTTACTGTCAAGTTAAACTAAAAATCTGCGTTTGACTTAAGATTATTTTTGTTCGGATGATTTAAGCAGCTGTTTGTGCCTTGCCTTCATTTGGCATCACTTAAAAATCTATCGCAAACTCTGGATTAGGGTTAGTGAGATGACGATGTCATTCAATGCGATGATTTTCTGGGTGTCTTTCTTAGAAGCAGTAGGCAGTAATGCGTTTGGGTTGTGCAGGTTCTGTCAGCAACAAGGTGTGTGTCTTGGCAAGCTGCTTTTCTCAAAGCACAAAATGTACCACGAGCATTACCTGAACTAACTGGGAAGGCAAGTGGCAGCAACATTCAGGATTTTTTTGAGTGTACAGATGGCACGATGCAACTCACACACCCTTTCACACTAGGCATTACTTTTGTAAAAACAGTAGAGACATTATCCATTAACATGACACCACCCTCCCATATTGGCACAACCATGAACGAGAACACGAGTCAGCTAGCGGATAAATGTCTCATATCCTTGCACTTATACAGTACTCCTCCTAGTCCATGAAGTATTGGACAGTAGACACACAAAAATGGCAGACGGTGGGTGGGTTCAGAGAAAAAGTATGAGAAAGTATTTGAGTGGATCGGCCTCTTTTCAAAAATTACATCCATCCATCCATTATCTTTTGAGAACACTTCCTCCTGAAAAGTTGATATAACAGGTATTCACAGGTGGTTGATTCTACTTTTATGAGAATGTTTTATTGAGTGTCTTTTAACTTTTACCGTAATCCATTGGTTTGGACTTTTGACATGCAAAACCAGGAACAAACTCTCGGGGATTGTCAGGATGTTTGAAAAAGTCTAACCCTACAGAACCTCACTGACCTACACAAGGCGAGGTCAGTGAACAAGGTCAGGCTGATTCTGGCAGATCCTGATCCTCTCTTCCATGGTGAGTTCAGGTTGCTTCTATCTGGACACAGGTATCTGCTGCCCAAATGTAGGATGAACAGAGTGAAGAACTCATTCATCCCTGTAGCAATCAGACTTCTCATCAAACAATGATGATTTAATGTCTTGTCTAGTGTGGATGTTTTGTGTGACTATAGACTATGAAACAATTTGCCCCTTGGGGATAATAAAAATTATTGAACTTGAACTTGGTTGCTACACCTAAGAGTTGCCGAGCTTATTGTGCATATATTCATTATGTAAGAAATAAAGCTCTGGAAGACAAGCGATTTAAGAAAGCGATGAAACTGAGAATTGTTTCTGAAGCCTTGCCTAGCATAAGTCATTCTAGCTGACACAGCACTGTTTTGAAAGAGAGAGAAACAAAAATGCCACAATTAAAATTCATACGAGAACAATACAATATTTCAGAACGTCCTCATTTAATATTCAACCTTGAACCACTGAGCGTGAGAGCAGAATGAAGGAAACGGGACTCTGTGGTTTTTACTGTATTTTTTTTTCAAACATTTTGTCTATTGATGAGCAGAATACACTTTGATAACTGGGAACAACAAAGTGAATCTGGGACCAGTATTATTATAATCAAACTGAAAGGGGTCAGTGTTGTTTAGATAAGGAATG